CTTCCCTGAAGAGTTTTTAAAATCTTCGGTTTATTGCTTCCGCATTATTCAGTTCTTATTTCAGTTCGTACCACCAATAAGCGCACTCCGTGATAATTATACGTTTCAAGAGGGATGGTTTGGAAAGGGTGGGTAGGGTTTCTAGAGAGAGAATGTTAGAGAGAGGTGAAAAGGGGAGATTTTCTATGCTAATGTAGTTAACGAAAGTTTATTTGCATCTATTGGGTCACCAAATAAAAAAATATAAAAAAAGAAAAAAACAAAATACAATAAGTAAATAATATCAAACATTCTAACCAAAACATATTGAAAAATTTACACAAAATAAATAACTCTTTCCAATAACAAAAAAAAAAAAAAAATTAAAATTATAAACCGTATAGGCCGGCTGTGCTAAGCACAACTAGAAAGTTTCTAGTATCTTAAATAATATTTCATAGTATATGCACGATATCAACACTAGTTAGTTGAAACGTATTAGCCATTTCAAGGTTGGAAACCGACGGAAGCATTTCTACTATTATTCAGCGTAGCGTGTGAAATTTCTGTTTCTGTAATCTGCAAAGGCTAAAGAGGGGTATGTCGAACGCCATCGTCAACGGGATGGCCGGCGCCGGCGGAGGTATCGTTGCCCAGATAATCACTTACCCTCTCCAAACGGTACCTGTTTTACCTCCTTATCAGTTCACACAAGTATTCTTAATCAGTAATTTGGTTTTCACTATAGATAAAGCTAACACTTCCGAAGTTCTAGTTGCTATTCCTCTTTGAATTATTTTGATGTTCAACTTTTGCGTTGTGATTCGTATGTGTATACTATCATAATTGGGGTATAAAGCTGCTGGTGTTGTTCGATTGTATTGCCTTGAAATCTTTTTCTTTTTGTCTTTATGATTTCATCACTTCAGGTGAATACGCGTCAGCAGACGGAAAGAGTTGCTAAGAAGAACTCAGTTCCACCATCTGTCTCTCGGCCGGATAGGAGTACCCTTTTTCACATTTTTCAGGTTTAATTCCTATCAATCCTAGCTGCAGCTTTAGTTTTGGCATCACATTCTAAATTTTCCTGTTACTGATTGACTAATTGTTGTCTACAGGTCATTAGAAGTGAAGGCTTAGGAGGACTTTACAGCGGCCTCAAGCCTTCTCTGCTTGGCACTGCTGCTTCCCAGGTGACATTTGCTGTGTTTGTTGTCTATCCTTTCTTGTTGAGTGCTTGGCGCTGTTGAAAGAGTATGCTCTCATGTGTTCAGATCCCTTATTTTCTATGTTCAGCTAGATCATAGTTATATATTAATAGACATAGTTGGTAGCAGTATCAACTCAAGTATATTAAATTTAAGTCAAATTTAGGTCAACTATATAGATGAAGTGGAGTTATATAGGTATGAGTTGTGAATATTGGAGTCACCCCTAGTTTTGTGAAATATGACTTTTTTTTTTTATTTGATTTGAGTTGAGATTCTTCCTCTTTTAGGATACGGGATAGATTATGTGAAATCTAAAGATCTTAGAAAAATGGCTGTTGGATCAACATTGAAATTTGTATCCATATTACCATATTCTTCTGGATATATCTGTTTTGATGTCAGCTTGAAATCACCTCTACACTGTGTAATGGATATGATGGTTCTCAATTGATACTCTCTTTTGTGAAGCATCCAGGGGATCTATTATTCTTTTTACCAAGCTTTCAAGAACAAGGCTGAGGCTATTGCGATTGCAAACAAAAGGAAAGGAAAAGGGGATGGTTTGCCTGGAATTCTTTCTTGGCTTATAGTGGCTGCTCTTGCTGGGTACTCTCTCATGTGCATTATTTGGTGACTTTTAACCTTTGTTAGCGGCACTGCTGGCAATCTCGCTACAAAGTGCTATTCTTGACTCTTACTGAGTGTGAATTTGTTACTGTAGGTCACTAAATGTACTGTTCACCAATCCTATATGGGTACTCGTGACTCGTATGCAGGTAGCACTCTTATAGATATCTAAAGAAAACATTGTTCTAGAAAAGTTTGCAATATTTTTTTTCCCTTTTCTTTCTGTTGATCCATATATTTCCGTCGACATTTATGCAAAAGTCGTAAATGCTCAGTCCATATGATGATGCATGCTATTGAGAGATCTGACTGCTTGCTTCACTATGAATCATGCCATTTGTCTGAAAATGAGCAATCTGTGTATTTTACTTCATAAATTATTTGAATTCACAATTTTCTTTCTGGAATTATCTTTCACTCGAGTTACAGACTGACATACGCTTCTCAGAGATTGCGAGTAAGGTTTCAGTTGCACAAGTATCCAAGTCACTCACCTTTCCAACAGTCATCTAAAACTTTGATCAATTTCTCGGGGGTACCTTTTGCGGTAGACATTCTTGGATCTTTCTGGTAGTGCTTAAAGCGCACAGCTTGTGGCAAGTTTCAGCATTTTTAGTAGTGAAAGCAGTTAGATTAATGCTCGTCATAGTTTGCAATGTTGATAAAGTTGAAGCTATTTCTCAGGCATGGTTCACTGCTGCGAGGCATAATTTTTTGTTTCATACATGTAACCACATAGATTAATTCTGCATCACTATGTAGCTCAAGTGGTATCAATTACCCTTTGAAAGGGCATTCACCAGAGATCGAACCATTTATGTTGTTGTGGGTAATTTTGTTCTTATTGTCTTTTTCCCTCTACTCTATTCTTAACGATTAAAATAAGTACTCATATCTTAGCGATATATGGCCATTTAAATTTCATTCTCTACCAATTATCTCCCGGGGAGTCGAATCTGTGTCATCCCTTGGAGCTTTGCTGCAGTAAAAATGTTGTAAGAACAGAAACATTAACAAGTATTCTCTACAGTAGGACAAAACTGGGCAGTGTAGCGGTTATTGTCTGCTAATTTTGTTCAAATTTTTATATTAAGATAATTTATGCATGTGGTAATTTATATCGTAGTTGAGAGACAATGTATCAGGCAGCGCCGCCTATGCATCACTAAGCATGGGCACTGAATTAATTTTTGTTATGCAATGTTGGTTTTCTTTTTTTATTTTTTTTCTTTTTCTTCCTCACCGTTAGTTGAACCTCAATAGAGATGCTAATAAATAGTGATTTTATCTGTTGGATACCATAATGATATTGTGAATACTAAGGATCTCTTTCTTCTAACGTTCATTCATTACAGACCCAGACTCAAGCGGAGAGAAAAATTATGGAGGCGAAAAGGGAAGCTCTGCTGAAGGAAGCTTCAGCGAATGTTTTGTCACAATCTTCTTTATCAAGCCAGTTGGCCAAACTTGATTCAATGAAGCCTTGTCCTTATGGGACATATCAAGCGGTGAATACTATTAGCCTTTTCGGCTTTCTTCTGCTTTGTCGACAACATATTTGTCTTTTGGCACATGTTGCATTCTATCTGGCTGGACATTTTCCGTTTCCTGCCTACCTTTTGTTTAATTAAGCCTCAAAATGAATTTGTTTAGTAGGCATGCGAGGTTTATAATGAATCTGGAATTGCTGGATTCTGGAAAGGTATCATTCCAACACTAATAATGGTAAGTTTAAATTTTTATTTTGTAAGTAAATTTATTTGAACTTTTCTTTAAGTTAATCCTAATGATTTCAGTCTTTTTGGCATGCCAGGTGTGCAATCCATCAATTCAATTCATGATTTATGAGAGTTTATTAAAACGTTTGAGAACCAAAAAAATTGCCAACAAACGAGGTTCGACGAACATATCAGCTATGGAGGTATTGTTTTTAGGTAGCATGCCGTTAAGAGTTTTCCAATTTCTCTTAGCTCTATTGCTATAAGCCCCTCTTCACGAAAACCCTCTATGTAGGAATACCAAGGTCACTTATGTTTCACCCCACATGTTTTTAAATACTAGGAAGATGCACGTGCTACGCACGTGGTATTTTTTTTTCAAATTATTTTTAGTATTAGGTTTATATTTAAAAGTATAATATAATTTTCTTTCATTTAGTTTAACAAAAAATGGTGTATTTTATTGAATAATGAAATATAGTATTTAATACTATTATGTGAACTCTATGATGAATAAAATTAAAAAAAAAAAAAAACATTGGGTTGAAAACCAAAAATAAAATTAATATTTTTTTAGTGAAAATGTAAATGCTAAAAAAATTATAGTCTTTGATTTTGTTATTTAATGATATCTTCATTGTGCTTAAAATAGTGATCACTATTATTGTCTTCATAATATAGCTTTCTAATGTCATCCTTTTACATCATGCTTTTTGAAAAATAACTCAAATTTGCTATAACTATAATTTATAATGATTATTTTTTATTTATTGTCGATTGGAAGCTAACAAACTATGTCTAAATAATTCGTTCTCAATTATTTTGATTACTGTGGTACCAAGTGTAATTATATTTGCAAGTACAATATTTCATAATACTTAGATATATATATTTATTCCCTAGTCATAATGACATAAGAGATACATAAATATTTGAAAATGTCTTTAATTAAGTCGTAATTAACTAATTATTTCAAAAGGAAAATTTACTTGAAAAGCATAGGAATAATAACATTTTTATTGATTAAAGCTACCTATCTATCTATATATCTTTTCCTACATAAATTATTGTTGCATCTCCTAACATTGTCATATATCCATTACCTTCATTCTCGAACTTTCAAGACTATCCTAAATGTGAATAAATACTAATTCCAGTTTAAATGAATTATGTAATGATGATTCCTTCATATTTTATTTTTATCTTAACATTATTTTATATCTTCGTCAACATTTCATCCCTACTTTTGCTTAAAATAATTATCATTGATATTGTCATCAAATATAGTTTTCTAATGTCATCCTTTTGCATCATACTCTTTGAAAAATAATTCGAATTTGTTATAACTATAATTAATAATGATCATTTTTTTATTGTAGATTGGAAGCTAAAACATTATGTTTGAATAATTCCTTCTCAATTATTTTGATTACAGTGGTTGCAATTAGCCATATTTGCAAGTATAACATTTCATAATACTTAGATATATAATTTTTCTCTAGTCATAATGACATAAGAGACACATAAATATTTGAAAATATTATTTCAAAAAAAAAAAAAAAAAAAAAATTACATGAAAAAACTTAGGAATAATAACATCTTTATTGATTAAAGATACTCATCTATCTACATATCTTGTCCAACATAAATTATTGTTGCATCTCCTAAAATTGTCATACATGCATTATCTTCATTCCCAGATTTTTAAGACTATCCTAAATGTGAAAATTTAATGAGTCTAGTTTTAATGAATGATTCATATTTAAAGTAAATTCACTATTTATATTTATTTAATTAATTTTAATTGTAACTATTTTCTAATAAGTACACGTATTATAAAATTCAAGATTTAAAATAGAATTTTAGTTATTTTATTTTATTTTTGTAATTAATCTATTTTTGCTTATATTACAATTCAATAAATGCAATTTTAATTCATGTAACACATTATTATAAAAAACATTTATACTATACATACTATTAAGAGGTAAACATAAATCATATTATGCATATTGTTTTAGTGAATAATTTAAACAAATATTTATGTTGAGATTATATTTTTTTTTTACTTAACAAATAACTTTTTTACATAGAAAGTTGACATTTTGTATGTTGAATAATTATATTTGATACAATTATTCTTAAACATATGCATGTTCACTAAATTGTTCTTGTTTAATTGTTTTAATACTATAACCAAAAATTTGTATGGTAAACAATATAATATTTAGAAATTAAAGATGATACTTTTAGTGATGCATTATATATTTCACACTTATGAAATATCATTATTTTATTTAAGAAATCTTAAAATAATTTTTTCTCTTACATTTTAAAACTTGTTTTAAAATAACCAAATCAAAACCTAACATGTAGATTAATTCAGAATAATATAATTAAGAATAAATTATTATGTAAAATATATTAATTTGTGTAGGTAATGTTTTGTATGTGTAAGAACTTAAAGATATAATTAAGCATCAAAATAAAATATAATAATTAAAAGTTGTAACTTCCTAACATGAATAAGAAAATTACATTAATAACCTTAACACTTATCTTTTTATGAGGATATTCTTGGATATTTTTGGCAATTCAAAAGTTTCAACAAACAACTCATACTTTTAAGAGAGTTGTAAAAAATTTCATATAAGGCTATGCTACCTGGACTCGGATATGGGTGGCGTGTGGAGGTATGAGCGTCCGACTCGTCAATAGTTTAGAAATCTTGAACATTTTAGGCTAAAATGCTACACCCGACACTCATACCCACACCAGTGTCAGCACTGACACTACATGACACGGGTATTCTTCGTATGGTGATTGTGGGAACACTTTGTAGATCAGAATTAAATTTCGAGTAAATTGCAATTTAACCCTTTTGTTTCACTATCCAACTTTTTCGTCCCTGTTTTGATTTTCGTCCTTTATGTTGCAAAAAAGGTTAACAAAAGTCCTCAAGCAAACATAGAGGACGGAATTGCAATCTTTTTAGCAAATTCGAAGGGGACCTTTTTGTTGGGAAAATGACATTTTGGTAACCTTTTTGCTAACACATAAGAGACGGAAATTAAAACAGTAATTCGGATGGAACAAAAAAGTTAGGGTAGTGAAACATACAAACTAAAATTCAAATTTTCTCTTGCAAGTGCTCCTTTTAAATATGCATGGGAAGTCAAATTTGTATGCTCAAATGTTCATTTATGGAATTCATTTTTGACATGTTTATGCATGTATTTGACTTGATGTTTAAACGGGGCGAAGATGTGTTCATGTACAACCATACAATTTTGTGCCTGCCTGCGCACAT